TTGTAACCTAAATTTTTAGGTTAGGGCAAATCCAGCCATTTCGTAAAAACAGGTAATCTGGAGACTCAGGGCAAGGACGAGTAGCTCGTGCGGCACAGCCTCGGCTATGCCCCGCTAGAGCTTCTCGATGAAAGAGACGCAGGATGCATACATTGGACTCGACGTGACAGGCTGACCTTGGCAACTGGAGCAAGACCTCTTCATGAGAAGCCACAGAGCAACAAGAAATCCAAGTAGCATTGTGCATCATCCTACAAATCTTAAAGCCGACCAGGCACGATACATCCTCAAATCCCGTCCGCGAAACGTGGAGCGGCATCGAACAAGTCGCCCCGGGGAAATGCCCAGGATCTTCACGAACGCAGCTCTGCAGACTCTGCGACCTACCCGAAACAAACAATCAACACAATCACTTCACTAACAGCTGCATGCAGGCTTGACAACCCATGGCCACCACGTTGCCAGTGGCCTTTGATGATGCACTCCTGGAGCTGCTGCTGCTGGTACCGGAAGTTTCCTCCTCCTCGTCCTCAGCCTGAGGCATCCACATTGGATGCTGAAGGCTCCAATGAATCGCATCTTGCCTTGTCTTGGTCAGCGCCCAAAACGAGGTCACCAAGCACATGACTGTTCTGAGCACAAGCCGGCGCTTGCACTGCCGGGCGCAGCACGGAGTTTTCAAAGCCCTCCGAACACGTTTGACTGATTTGCCATTGGACTGGTAAGCGTCTTCGGAGCCGGAATCTTCCTCACCAAACAAGACCCGGCTCAGTGAAAAGCTTGCAATCAGCGGGTACTGCTGTGATGCCGACCCATCATCCGAAGAGGAGCTGTACTCTGACCCATCATCCGAAGAGGAGGTGTCCTCTGACCCACCATCGGACGAGCTAGATTCAGCATCGCCCGAATTCGAATCGTTGGATGAACCCGACTCCGAGTTCCAACTTCGAGTCTTTCGTTTCACCATGATGTCTCAGGGTTAACTACCGTACCACCGGGACCTGAAACACAAATGATAGATCTTCCTGCTGCTGCTGTACTAGCGATGAGAATCTCTCTCAGTCTTAAATGTGACCGTCCAAGTACAGCATGTCCAATGAGTCAACAGAACACTTCATGTGAGTCTTAAGCTTCAGCTGCACGGCTGCACGTCTAGTACACTACACTGTTACTGTCACTATGCATGTGTGAATACAACACTCGTGAATCTGAAGCTTCAGCTGCACGTCCACTACAGCACACTCTCACCACGCAGAAACTTAAGTCTGTTATTTCAAGTTTCACGGGATTATGGATTGTAGGATGGAGACCTACTCGAGCTGCTGGCTGCTGAAGTAGTTATCTCGAACAAGAAGCTTGCATTCGGCCGGCCGATGAATCAACTGACTCGGGCGCTGCGGTTTGAATGCTGAACCGTGAGTCATGCTGCGCACACAAACTGAATGGAGCGGAGCTTGTTTCGGCACACCACAGGCCCATGCAAGCTCAATGCAATCACAACATGACCCATCCTACACCGGTCACAACACATGCACAACAAGCTTTTTTCGGCCGAGGAGACCAGCTCGGCCAAAATCAGCTGCCACTGCGAGCATGTATCTCCTGTTGCAGGCGACTCAGATCAGTTGCACTTAAGACCTCAAGCCACACCAATGCTGCTTCGAGCATGGATCTCCTCGTGGAGGCGACTCAAATCTGTGCAGCAAAAGGCCCTAAGCCACGCCAATGCCGCGGAACGTATGTTCATCGATCGCCTCAATTAGCAATGGAGTCTACCGAAACCAGGAACTTGAGCAACCAAGTAACAAACCACGGGCACTGGGAAGAAAAAACAACTGATTGCAGCAACGATACATTCCCTGCCAACCTTCTCAGATCCTGCGAACACACGATGGCTGGAACTTTCGAGTCGCTGGTTCGGTCTCTTGAAGTCCCAACACCAATCATCGACATTATAAGTCTGTGACACTCCGACCGCCGTGGATTGATTGAAGTCTACACAGCTTTTAGTAGCTATCTTCGGGGTCCCAGATACTTGTCTAAAGGCTTAAACTTAGGTCCTTACACATAAGATTTATGAGAGCATAGTTCACGCCTCCCCCCCCCCGGAGCGTCATCAGCAAACCACAAATGACGCGAATTCGGCGAATACAATGACCAACAGACGCAGGATTCATATGAAGTAAGGTTTGTTTGACAAACAGAGCTGGGCCTAAGTTACTTTTTTTTGCTAGCATGCCATGCGGCTTAAGTCAATCTCAGTCAGTCGCCTTTGTCGGCAGCTTGCAGCAACGACACAGCAAGCAGAATGAGTCAGCTTGGGACTGGTCGTCTTTAATTTGTTACCGGCACTTTGGCCGGTATACTAAATTAAAGTCGATGTCGAGTCGAAATAAGTCGCCCATTCAACCTCGAGCCAACACAGCCCAAAACCAGCAATCAGATGTAGGACCCATCGAGTTAACTAAGATTTTAATCTGAAGTCTTACCAACCCTAGATCTAGAGCTGCCTCCCAACCCCACTCCGAGTCAGACCTAGAGCCAATTTAGTGTAAATTGTGTTACTCAAGAAGAGTAAGTAGCTTGCCACTCCAAGGGCACCCCTACAAATATCAAGCACATCTTTTAACTAAAACCTGTCGAAACCCGCTTCCCAAGGGGAAAATACCAGCCACAACTTCCAAATTGAAGCCGAGCCCTAGAGTAATGATGTTCATCGAACCGAGCCTCGTCTGAAACCACATGAAACCCCAGGGCCGATGTCTGATCAATACAGACTATCAAAAGCTGTGAAAGTATCTCCGCCAATACAAAATCACGACCCGCGAGCACAATGAACCCAAACCAACAAGCAGCCGAATTCCAATTTTGCGCATCCAACCAACCCCAGCCCTGTAAAGCCTCAAGGTCCACTCGAGTAACTCTCTGAACAACCACTAGTCCAAGATTATTAAAGACACTTTCATGCCCAAGACCCAGAAACAGACGAAACCCCAAATGGAAAGTTGCCTCCACTCATTAAAACGACTGGCCAAGACTCGAAACACTAGGCTAGGGCGGGACGTAGCCCGATAATCCAGTTTTATGTAAGGTCGAACCCGACCAAGCGAAACCCATGTCTCGGGGAACTAAGAAACGACACGTCACGAGAAACAGGGAGAGTACCACCAGGAACATCAGACCAGGACCAGACTTAAAGACACAAGCACATTGCCTACACTAGCAGAGACCACGGTATTTGGACTAATTGCAACCTGTCGGGTCGTGTTTCCAGAAGGGACAGTTATAACCGACTACAAGCCCTAACTAAGCTACTAGACTGACCACGCACACACCAACACTACACGGTCGGTCCACTGCAATGTATTCAGCATCACCGCTATTGACTTGAGGCTACATATCCGTACAACTACGAAATTAAATTTAACGAATCGGAACGTGAGGTTGGCCGGTAAGAAGACCCCAGATCTAAGACAGGAGCGCACCGGTCCTTGTCGTCCAGACCGTAGAGGTTGAGGTTGCCGATATCAAAGCCCTGAAACAGCATCATCTCGAGGCCTCGCTGCAACGAGAATTTCAGTGACTGTCTAACTCCGTTCTGCGTTCTGCATAACGAACTATATGTCCTGGCCTGTCAAACAGCGATCACGGTGAAGTACATACATGTTGCATTGCGGAGTCAAGCAGGGGATGAACTTGCGCTGCACATGCATGCGGGGGAGTTGCTGGCTCACATTTACAATCGCGGGTCGCTTCTTGCCGTGCATCGTTGCCACACGTCTACTGCCTTAATAAACTTGCAAATTGAGACACTGCACCATGTCGTTTGACTTGACTCGAACGAGAAACAACACCAAAACAGGCGGGGTGCATGTGGCCGCCTTTGATCTCCAAACGCAGCGCGGGCGAAGTCCGAGTGAACCAGCTTCCTGGGGTTCACCTCGAAAGTGGTGGGATGTAGGGAAGCTCATTGGGAAGGGCCTTGTGCTCCTTCATAAACTTGAAGTGAATGGAAGGCCACTGCAATCCTGTATCATGAGGCCTCAAAAGCCGAAGCATCGATATTCTCTGGGCTGGGGTGAGTGACATGACGAGGTGTGAGGACATGCAGTACCAAAGTTAGATGCAAGGCCGAGCTTCTCATAGCGAAGATCGAACTGGGTTTGCAGCCGCCTTTTGGGGGGTGCCTCTTGGTCCACATCATCCAGCAACAGGTCATACCAAGGCGTTGGTGGAGGGCAGTTTTCTTAGCCTTTGCAAGGATGCTGTCCAGGGCATTCTGTAGCTTCGCATTCGAGGAGATGCCAGGGGCTGCGACACTCCTGCGTTGAATCGTCGAGGGATTCATTGAATGATTCGGAAGATTATGGGGTGTTGGGGCGTGTTAGGGGTAATTAGATGATGATCTGGCCTGTGGATGCCGATACAGTAGAGCCTCGGTCTGCTAGCGACGTCGCCGATGGCCTTGCTGTCAATCTCCATGATGCCATGATAATACTCTTTCAGCCTCCTGAGCCGGGCTTGTACTGCACCCAGGCATCGCTTAATTCCCATGACGTTCTCGAGGACTTTAAAGGGGAACCCGAAGCCTCAGTACACTCCACGCCTGACGTTCTTTTTAACCAGCTAGACTCTTAGACCGAGCCAAGGGACGTCGGGCTTCGCAGCCTGTGCGTTGCTCGACAGCATCGAACTCCGAGTGAACCCGAGCACGGACCATATGGTTTCAACCTCATTCCCAGTCAGGAGATCAGTATCCGCCCGAAGCACACTAAACCTGAATCGATGTACATTGACTGTTGAGACAGCTGACATGTTGCAAAATGGACTCAGCGACAGGCTGTAAGGCCAAGCAGCGGTTGGCATGGAAACCCTGCTATCAGGGCACCGCATTTCTTGCTGGCAGGGTGCAGCTCTCGGTCACATACGTCCGGGTAGAACCTTACAGAGCGACACCGGGGGGGTAACGAAGTGTTACATTTATTTAGCCCTAAACAAGAATGAGGCATGCAAAGCCAAGCAGCACACGCGGCTTGAAGTTCCTAGCGATGAAATCCGTCGCTATGCAGTTTATCTCGGAGCTGGAGATGTGATCAACTTGACTCAAATGTTTGTAGGGCTGTAGGGAATTCGGATGTCCTCACGTGAGACTACATGGTACTCGCCTGGACTCCCAAGGCCTGCAGCGAAAGAATGCCGCCTTCCGCGCCTGAACCTCGAGAGCCGTGCAAGGCAACAAACAGCAAACGATCGCTCAAATCCTTGCAACGCGGAAGTGTAGCATGCATAAAAGTCTAACCCAAGGCACAGTCGGACATCACAGGGAATTCGTACTTCAGAAAGCGTTTCACTCTGGCAAGCATTCCTCAATTGAACATGCGGCTTGTCAAGCGGAAAAAAGTAAAGCTCACACCAGCATGCACAATGCTTACAAGTATCCTGTACGGAGCAACATAGAGTTTGCCCAGCCGGATACACAAGATCGCTGCCTCTTGTTCAGTCCGTGGCACTTGAAGGGCTCACGCCTGAGCTTCCCACTGCACATGAATGTCATCGATGGTTGACACAAGACTCCTATGCAAGCAATCAGGACAACACATAATTCAATCGATAAGTTGCTTTGCCCGCTTGCAAGCATCTTCCCAGTCTGGCAGACCCGCATGACCCGCATCGCTGGAGCTCGAGTCGTAGCAGACAGAATATTCGGCTGAATACTCTGAGTCACCTCCAGAGTACGACTCAGGGGAGCCCCGAGAACTTTCTATCGCACCCACATCGGTTGAAGTAGAAGACTCAGATTCGGATAGCGCATCCACATCGGTGTATTCTGAAGACATAGCGGGCGGTCTACCCTAATGCATCCGGTGCTTTCTTTAAGTTTGTGCTGAGATGAATGACAGCAACCCAGACTCCCCATTATATAATTAACTGCCTATGGTCTGGAGTCGCAGCCTGAAATCTTGAATTTGAGGTGATCTCTCATGCTTGATTCTGCAATCTGAAGGAAAGGAGGTTTCCAATCCCTCCCCCCAGGACATGGAAAATCCACAAACAACCTCGGACCAACGGAGTTTCACTTATGTTTGGCTGGAATATTGGTTTGGATGACGATCCCCTCTTAGGGTTGAGAGGGTTTAGGGTTAAGGGCTTTTGGAGTTAGGGTACAGGGCTAGGGAGTTTTGATTTCAGTATGGTACGCCCTGGCGGCGTGTATCTTCGAGGCATACTGTTTCAGGTACTTTGAACTAAGTCCTATGATGGACCAGGTATGATTACGTA